TTTACTTATGCAACTTTTATTATCTTAAACTATAAAATAATTTGATAATTGGTAGGACAAATCACTTCAATTTGTACTTCATCAGTATTATCTTGCTATTCTTGACATTCTTGTTCACTTATAATTTTAGATTATTTTGTCAAATTTTGTGAAAAAAATCTTATGGTTTTGTAATATCATTATGTATATTATATTACAGAAATAAATGATATTACAGAAACAGGAATACTTTTCTATTGCATTCATTTGCTCATGATCACAGTGAATATCTCTACTTATTTCAAGGTTTTTTAAATACATTTTTAGACATATGAAGTAATAATTTATTAATTAAATTCACAAATATCCAGTAGAAAAATTGCTAAAGCCCAAAGGAAACCCCAAGGAAAAAAACACCAATAAAATTAAGGAATTCAGTAAACTTAACTAAATTTAGCTATTAATAACAACAATGCTTCTTTGTAGTGTCTGGATCTTTGGAAACAACCTTATCATCTAATAAGAATTACTTCCTTTTCCTTCTCATGCACATGGTTTTTCCTTGTCCTACTGGCTGCAAATACAATACATTGTAGAGTAGAAATGATGTTTCACTCATTTATGAATTGAACGATTATAGGTGCCAGATATGCAGTAAATGCTCTGGCAATTATGAAATGTAAGATTAATTTTGCTTCTTATGGGACCAACTGGCCTCTCAGGGTATTTTTGAAAATCATTCTTCTGGTCCTAAGCATCTCATCTGAAGTATCTTTAGTATCTAACAACTCTTTCCAGGTGAGTGTATCTGGGCTCTAAGAGCCACAGGCTTTTTATTTTTTTTAACAGAAAGACCCACATTGCCACCTAGTGGTGAGAGGGACAAACTCATCTGATGCCCCTTGTTCCTGGCTGCCTCTGCCCCACCTGAGATGAGTTGGTACCAGTTCCACACCTGGTTATAGCAATATCGAAGCAAGGCATCTCAAGTGCCTGAAGGAAATCAGGAAACAAGAAACACATGTGTATGGTGACATGACTCCACAGAACTGTTACCCTGTTGCACAGTGAGTCATTTAACATTGGTTGAAGGTTTATGGGTACACTTTGTCTTCTAAACCTTTTCTTGCCACCATTCAAGGTGACTGTGCTACTTGAGTCTCTGTCCTAAATTCTCTGCTCTTTGAATTGCATGCTCCATCAACAAGGGATCATGCTTCCAACCAGTCCTAAGCACCTCGCCTGAAGTATCCTTGGCAGCTAACAACTCTTTCCAGGTGAGTGCTTTAGGTACCAAAGGGTTTTTTTTTTTTTTTTCCTACAGAAAGACCCACATTGTGCTAAGTGTCTCCAATGTTTACTTCTCCTGCACATCCATTTTCTGAGTTCAGGACAGCCAATGGCTTTTTGCACATTTCTAGTTGGATTCTGCCTCAGAGTTTAATTTACCCCAATCTCAGAGTAACCCGTGATCCTCCTCATTTGGTCCTCCTAATCCATCTGCTGAAGGAGTCATATTCAACCTCAGACTCCACCCCCATCTGTTGCTGCTCATACCTAAGCACTTACCAAGTCTTTAGGTTGACTTTGTAAACACTGTGCCCTCCCTGTGCAAGAGGAAAGTACCTTTCTCATCCTCAAGGACAGGAAGTCAAAGTGCAGAGAAATCTGCACAAACAACCCTTGTTAGACTATTCCTATCTTCCTCACCATTTCTCCATTGACTTAACTGCCCTGGCCCAAGCCAACTGCCTTATCACAGTTCCATGATTTACTACTCTCGGTCTGATTTGGTACATAAGCGTTCAAGTTCAACTCCAACTACATATCTGGGTCTTTTTTCCTTTGAAGGATCCCATGTCATATAAAAATGTGTATCAAATTTGTTTACCTTTCTCCTGTTGATCTGTCATATGTCAGTTTAATTCTCAGGACTAGTGAAAAAAACCTTAAGAGGGTAGAGGTAAAATGCTGCCTCCTCTCCATGGTCCTTTATTTCTTCCCATGGCAGCCCAGGTGATCTGATTATTACCCAGAGATCTGATTAAGACAGAGGTCAAATGTAATGCTCTAGTGACTCCTTAAACTTAATGTTGAATTCCTTACCAATTATCTTGACTTGTAAGGCCATGGTGGTCCGATGTCTCCCTCCATCTCTCAGCCTCACCCTGTCCTCACCCTCCCTCACTCTACTTCTCCATCATTGCTAACTCCTTTCCAACCCTTCCAATCTCTTCTTTCCCTCCTGCCTGGAACACTTTGCACTGGCTCTTCCATCTTCCTTAAATTCCTTTCCTTGCATTGTCTTTCATTACCCATGGTCCCACTGAATTTACTCGAGCTCAAGTTGATATAAAGTGTTTAGGAATAATACTGAATGTTTTTCCCCATATTTTTTCTCAAAAGGAGGATACCCACTAAATATACAGTGTCAGGAAACATTTGATTAAGAGTCAGCTGCAGTAAATTAGCCACATTCCATTTTTCTTAGGTAAAAACTGAATGTTGCTGATTTTTAAAATAGTATCTGAGAGTAGTTTTCAGATAAAAGGCACACATATTCATGGGTATTCCACCACAGGTAGTCAAAAGTAGTCCAACTGCTTTTCATATTCCAATGGAAGAAAATGGCAGCAGCAGTTTGAAATCATCAAGGAACTAATCAATCTATCACCTTTAGGCACCTCCGATGTATGTACTATTGCAAACGTGTCAAGACTTCTGTGAGTCAGCCCCAGAAATTATTTTTTGAGCTATTGAATTGCAATGTCAGTTGTCCCATACAACTGGCATTTCAACCCAATTAAATCCTGTAAGATAAGATGTCAAGACAGAAGTGCGTGCTCAGAATAGGGGTGTGTGTTAAAAGACATTGAGGTCCTAAGGGACCTTGTCTCCCTCTAAACCTGTGAAATTCTCCGCATGGTGTCTCCATTTCTGGAGAACCAGATGCCTCCCTTAAGAGTGTGTGTGTGTGTGTATGCGTGTGTGTGTGTATTGTGGGGCAGGGAGGGGGAGACAAGCATCTGTCTTAAAGGTGAACTTGGATTTAAATATAACATAGCCCAGAGATAGAAAATTGAAAGAAAGAGTTATAATTAAAAGGAATTGATCATTTATATCATCAAATATTTGGAAGAAGTGTTATAGGATTTTATTTTGATGGCTATATTCCGAGGAGGACAGAACCAATTTGGATGGGTTATATTTGACACTATGGCCATATCCTCCTATGGTAATGCATGTGGGCAGCTGGCTGGGTCTCTAACGGTGAGCTGAAGTGCAGAAGGCAGTCTGGCCACAGCACTCATCCATGTCCACAGACACTGCAGTACCCTTCAGCTTAGTGTAGAGGGGGAATAACTGACTGCATGCGGCAGGCATGTCACCTCTTTCTGACTGTGTTTCAGGCCAGAGCCTTGAGTGCTCATGTCTTCCCGGTACCAGTGCTGAAGCGGGTGGTGGAATATTTAGAGCTATTTTGCTAGCTCTCTTCTTGAGGCTGAAAACACTGGCAGAGTAGGAGGCAGCAGTTTATGGGTTCTTGGTTTCCATGGCAATGAATACAGTCTGAGGGGACTAAACCTATTTAATCAGCAATGGCAAAATGGACCCTGTCATCATGTAGGTATAATGTGATCCATTGCTAAACTGGCTTTGTTAAAACAATTAATTGGGAAGCTATCATGGTTAGCAGATCTGAATTCCTGAGTTCTTAGGTTAGCAACCCCAAACCGAAGTCGGCGTGAATGGTCATCACCTAGGAAAACAAACCGTCAGCTCAACCAATCAGGAACTGCCAACTAGACTGTACCTAAGGTCTTTCCACGTTGACCAATCATGTGTTTTCTTTGTCTTGCTTCTGAGAACACCTTGTGAAAGCTGCCCGCCGGGTCTCCATGGACCCCAAACCACCTGGGATCTAGCACTGCCCAATCTGTGAATTGTTGTTGGGTGAAAACAACTCATCAACGTCTGTATGTGCTTTTATTCTGTAGCAGTTCCCATCCTATTTTAAGTCCCACTGTGGTCAAGGGCAAGATCTTATCTGCATGCTTTCATTTTCATGCTGAGCCCCTGCTCTCTGTGGTAAAGGCATTTACAAGGCGTGAGTCTGCTGGTTGGCAGAGCGTCCCCTGAGGGAAATCCACTGGGTGGTGGCTGAGCCACCTTGGTTCTCAGTAGGTAATGCTCTTCATCCTCCATTGTCAAGACCTCTAATCCTCTGTAACACTTTTACACATTCATTTCTTTCTCTCTTTTTTATGCTCAGAATTTAATCAGTCTTAACCTGTGATTCAAAACATGCAGGCCTTGCTTGTCAATGCATGGTTATTTACTTAAAACTAAACTATGGGCTTTGGAAATACCTCCCCTTCCCCACACAACAATATGAAAGACAGATGCTCAGTCGTTTCCTGGTCCCCTCTCTTCACATATTTACTGGACATATTTTCTTCTAATAAATGGTGCTAATGTATGTTGCTTATTTTTTATCGGATCATGCAGATTTGTTGGTCAGTATCATTTTTTGCTTTTCCTTAGGAAATGATTTCTACCTTCAGTGTTCCACTTATCATCTTCTACCTTCTGACAGAACATTCTAGATCTTTCAGCCATGTAACCTGAAGTCTTCCTTCTACCTTCGCTATTGAACTGTATCTTGAGAGCAGCTCAGCAAAACCTTCTCTAGGTGTTTCAGACATGCTCTGTAGATGCACAGGGAGTTCGCCTCCTGTGCTCTCTGTCTCTCCTCCTCCATCATCAATAACAACCTGGATACTTACAGTGTGTTGGATCTTTCGATAAGTAACACTCTCTGCCTGGTTGCTGCATAATTTCTCTCCATCTTGAGGGAACAGCATGGTGACATGATGGTGCTGAACAGTCACAGAGAGCCAGTTACCAAAGGAAACATAATAGAAATGTACAGCAATGTGTAGACGTGTCTACAGCTCTAGCTGTGGGATTACATGTATATTTATTAAAAACATAGGAACTTGGCAGAGTCAGGCAAACACCTAGGTCTTGAGATATGGGGGAACTTTCCATGTCAGTTGGTCACTTGATTCCCATTTTTCTAGGTCTAGACACACATGCTCCCAGAGTTCTAATTCACAGAAGCTGTGGTGTTCCTTCCCCAGGCTCCTCCCACAAGGCCCCTGGGGTCTTTGGTGGGGGAGGGCAGGCTGCTGCAACCCTTCTTGCCTAGGTCTCTGACTTCCACCCAGCACTGTGTCACCAGCACAGAAGTAGAAGCTGCTGTCTGTAGAATGTGCGTTGTTCAACATCAGAGATGCAAAGTTGAGGTTTGGGTGACTGATGGGAAACTTTTCCTTTTCAAAATCTTGTTCGTGGGTGCCCTCAGATCCCACATTAGAGGTTGCCATCAGGACAAAGCCCTGTTTGGGGAACTGACGGTACCAAAACACAGTTGAGGCCTGGAAGTCCACAAAGCGACACTCGATCTTCACAGAGGTCCCACTCTCACAGATGGCCCTGCTTGGATGTTGAGAGACATGAGCACCAAGCCCAGAGCCTGCTGAAACACAGGGACACAAGAGGCCAGCAGGACCAGAGTCAGACAGGACCCAGGACACTCAGCCTCTGCCATCACCTTTCCCCCAGCCCCTGGAGAATCCCTTTCTGTCCCCAAGCATCCTCTCAGACTCCCTGGGTCATAACTGGTACCTCACCCTGTACACTTGAGAAAGCCTGGACGTGCCCTCTCACTTTTAGAAGCACACATACTCCACAATGCCTGGCACACTTCACTCACACCAGCACACGCACACATACGCCCACTCTCCCAGGCAGGAGAAGGCTCATACTGGGCCCCAGAAGCAGCAGGAGCAGCAGCATCTTCAGCGTTGGCCTCACACCTCCTTCTCTGGGGAGGTCTGACCCTTCTTCCTCTTCCCAGCCCTGGAGGATGGGCGCCTGAACACAGGGTCCTGGGGTGCTCTCATCTGCCCCCTGGTGGTGATCCTTGCCAGTGATACAAGATGCAGCCTTAGCAAATATATAGTCGCTGCCCTGAGACCTAGAACTCTGGGATGATTCAAGCGAGTTTCTTAGGTGGAAAAGGGGACATGCATTTTACTCAATCCTTAGCTTTTTTATCCTATCTTCGAAGTAATCTTACCAAGACATCTAACAGCTGTAAATCGCTGGACTACAGGCCAACACTGCATTGTGAATCCACAGTGCCCAGAGCAGCACCTGGGCGGGAGGCTTGGTGCTTCATTATAATCAGGTTGAAGGCCCTTCTTATCTTCAAAAGTGCTCTTCCCCTCATGATCATTTCATGACAATTTCCCTCACATGTCAGTGGACTTGATTCCAAAAAAAGAAAAACATACTCATTTATCCTGTATGTCTTCATGTAAAGAAAGTTATGACAGTAATTAATTTATCATCATTTTACTGTAATGTAGATCTCACTAAGTACTGGCCAATGGAAATGAATTCTCGGTGGTGTAAGGAATGCTTTCTATTTGAACATACTGGGCTAGGCCTTTTAATGGACCAGTTTTGAGAAAATTTAGCAATTACCAAAAAAAAAAAAAAAATAATCAAAAGAGGGCTGGGGTTGTGGCTCAGTGGTAGAGCGCATGCCTAGCAGGCACGAAGTACTGGGTTCGATCCTCGTACCACATAAATGTAAAATAAAAATATTGTGTCCACTTACAACTAAAAAACAAATATTTTTTTTTTTTTAAAAATCAAAAGCAAACAAAATAACGTAGAGCTGAAAGTTTTTTTTCCCATAGCACTACACTTTCATTTGGAGAACAGCCTACTGGTTGTACTTTTACTTAATGTTTAGTTAAAGTTCTCTTGAGTGGGGAGCTTACAAAGGTAGAATTAAGACATGAATCATCTAATTATATTTGTGACATAATGAAAAAGATTTTTATCCTAAAAATAAAACTTTTGCATTACATCAGGGTTAATATATGTTCCTAAGGTCATCTGCACTGTCTTGTGACTGCATTTGCCTTTCCTGGTTGGCTGGGCCCCTTGGAATGAGGCCAGTTCACAATGTAACTACAGGGTGGAGCAAAGGAGTACTTGCTATGGATGGTCTGGGGTCCAGCTTTTGCTTTGTCTGGGAAGAAGAGGCTGGAACTGCCCTCATCAGAGCAAAACCTTCCTGTTTATTTTGAGAGGCACTCACTAGGTGTTTTGTTACTGTGCCAACTTAGCTAAGCAGCAAAAGAATTTCTGAGAATTTCCTTTGTGATTTGTGTAGGTCTGGCTTAGAGTTGAACACATGGAGAAGAAATGCATGAAAGTATTCAGGGAAAGTAAAATACCTGCCATCATTAAGAAATCATCATTGAGAGAGAGGAGGGGAGGGGAGGGGAGAGGTGGGGAGGGGGGAGGGTGGATGATGGGAAAGGCAGCGGAGCACAACAGACACTAGTATGGCAATTTGTAAATCAATGGATGTGTAACTGATGTGAATCTGCAATCTGTGTATGGGGTGAAGGTGGGAGTTCATAACCCACTAGAATCAAAGTGTGGAATATGATATGTCAAGAAATTTGTAATGTTTTGAACAACCCACAATAAAAAATTAAAAAAAAAAAAAAAAAAGAAATCATCATTGATCTGAAGCTGTGACAAAGAGGACCAGAGGTGCTGGGTTGGCTGTTAGAGCACTTGATGGGTACACATGAGGCCCTGGGTTTGAATCCCAGCACTGAATAAAAGAAGTTAATAAAGGGTGCCAGTGGTTCCAGTGTGTGCTGACCTTTCTCTACTTCACGTCCTACTGACCATGCTGACCACAAACCCCGCTACCAACGGGACACCCAGTCCCACAAGCCCTCCCTGAGAACTCATGGGGCAGTGCACACAAAGAGCCAGCCTCCTCTCATGGACTCCAGCCCCCGCCTCATGCACAGTCCATCCAGGGCTTTCGTGTACCTAACTTATCCCAGGCTCCAGTTTGTCCCCCATCACCAGACCTACTTAGAGTTTTTTTTTTTTTTTTTTTTTTTACCTAGCTAGTTTTGGATCTTTCCTAATCTAGTTTCTCCCCAAATTGTGTCAGGTCTGATTCCTAACATAAAATTTTTAGTTCTTCAGGCTGTGCTACTTAATTTTGTGTCATTATTGACATTGTCATATATAGTATAGACTAGTCATGGGCCAGGTCAAACATGTTGTTAACAGCCAGTATGTTACTAGTCCTCAGTTTTAGAGTATTTCAGTGTGACTTTGTTTCATAATTTTTTCTTCTTTTTATCCACGTGATGAGTTTTCTTGATGTCTGGGAGACGTTAGCGTTCATGAGAACGGTGGGGTAAGCAGACAGAAGATAGAGTCAGAGCTCTGGGATCACAGGACTGTGGCCCATGAACAGCCCTGGTACTGGGATCTGATAGCCCCTAACAGGGTTCTACTCATTGCCAGGACACATCTGCTTCCACGATTCTAAGGGCAAACAGCCAAGAATCATGCTCCACAGGGCAGAGGTAAAGTTAGATGTATCTCTGAGCTGGTATGTGCTAAAGATTTGCTTGAGGAAAATGGAATGTGTAGATAATGGTAAACATGGCTATCTATCATCATCATCGTGTAGGTGATGGTAAGCATCCCCTATTGGCAAGCCACTTGGTGGTGGCTGAACCACTGTGGTTCACTCTCTGGTTCTCACAGGTAATGCTCCTCATACTCCATCTTCAAGACATCAAATCCCCTGTAACCCTTCATGTATTATTTTTTCTCTCTTTTTTTATGCACAGAACTTAATCAATCTTTATCAGTGTCTCATAACAGGCAGGCATTTCTTGTCAATCCATGGCGATTTATCTAAAACTCAAGCATGGGCTTTTGAAACATCTCCCCCTCCAAACACATCAATATGTAACACAGATGCAAAGTGGTTTCCTTCTCCCATCTCTTCATATACATACTGGATACATTTTCTTCTTCTAAAAAAAATGAATGCCAATGCATTTTGCTCATTTTCTATTGGATCAAGCAGATTTGTTGTCAATGGAGAAATCATCTATTAGGAAATGATTTCTTCAAGATCCTGCCTTCAGTGTTCCAGTTATCTTCTACCTTCTGACAGAACTTTCTAGATCTGTCAGTCATGTAATCTTAAGTCTTCCTTACAGACTTCCTCTGGCTCTTGCACTATTGTAGCCTATTTCAAGAGAAGTTCAGCAAATCCTTCTCTAGGTATTTTTCAGATATGCTCTGTACCTGCAGAAAGGGATTTACCACAGCAGTGGATTTGTTTATGACTAACTCTTTCTGACTGGTTGCCTTCTGATTTCTCTTGATCTTGAGAGTATAGCATGCTGACAAGATAGTGCTGAACCATCCTCGAGAGCCATTTGCCACAAGAAACAGAGAAATGTACAGTCATGTGCAGAAATGTCTACAGATCTAGCTGTGGGACTTTACATAGACTCATGAAAAATATATGGAGAGCACGGCAGAGTCAGCAAAGATTCAGGTTTTCAAATACTTGGGGAATTTTCCATGTCAGCGGGTCACTTTATTGGACAAATTTTATTCCCATTTTTCTAGGTCTAGAGAAAAAACCCTCACAATCCTCCACACTCAGATTCTCTGTCCAACTCCTCTTTGTGGTTTTCCCTCCCCCAGGCTCCTCCTAGAGGGCTCCTGGGGTGTGTGCAGGGCGGGGGGGTGTGCGGGGGGGGGTGCGGGGGGGGGCAGGCTGCTGCAAACCTTCTTGTCTAGGTCTCTGACTGTCTGTAGAATGTGCGCTGGTCACCTCCAGAGATGCAAAGTTGAGGTTTGGGTGACTGATGGGAAACTTTTTCTTGACAAAGCTTTGTTCGTAGGTGCCCTCAGATCCCACATTAGAGGTTGCCATCAGGACGAAGCTCTGTTTGGGGAACTGACGGTACCAAAACGCAGTTGAGGCCTGGAAGTCCACAAAGCGACACTCGATCTTCACAGAGGTCCCACTCTCACAGATGGCCCTGCTTGGATGTTGAGAGACATGAGCACCAAGCCCAGAGCCTGCTGAAACACAGGGATAGAAGAGACCAGCAGGACCAAGTCAGACAGGACCAGGACACTCAGCTTCTGCCATCACCTTTCCCCCAGCCCCTGGAGAATCCCTTTCTGTCCCTAAGCATCCTCTCAGACTCCCTGGGTCCTAATCCCCCATCTCCCCTAACTGGTGCCTCACCCTGTACACTTCAGCCAGCCTGGATGCGCCCTCTCACTTTTAGAAGCACACACACTCCACAAGGCCTGGCACACTTCACTCACACCAGCACATGCACACACACGCCCACTCTCCCAGGCAGGAGAAGGCTCATACTGGGCCCCAGAAGCAGCAGGAGCAGCAGCATCTTCAGCGTTGGCCTCACATCACCTTCTCTGGGGAGGTCTGACCATGTGCCCCCTTCTTCCTTTTCCAGCCCTGGAGGATGGGCTCCTGAACACAGGGTCCTGGGGTGCTCTCATCTGCCCCCTGGTGGTGGTCCATGACAGTGATACAAGATGCAGCCTCCTCAAATATATAGAAGCTGCTCTGGGACCATGAACTCTGGAATGATTTAGCAAGTTTCTTAGGTGGAAAATAGGACACATATTCGAGTAGTAAATGCATTTTACTCAATCCTTACCTTCTTTGTCCTATCTTGGTAGTAATCATACCAAGACATCTCAAGCTGTCAATCACTGCACTACAGGCCCACACTACATTGTGAATCCACAGTGTCAGGGCAGCACCTGGGCTGGAGGCTCAGTGCTTCTCCATAATCAAGTTGAAGGCACTTGTCACCTTCCAACAAGCTCTTCCTCATGACCATCTCATGATAATTCCCTTCTCAGTGAATTTGATTCTTAATAAATACTCATTTATCCTGTATGTATTCAGGTAAAAAAAAGTTATGACAATAATTTATGTATCATCATTTTACTATTATGAAGTACACACAAGTATGAAATGAATTCTAGGTGGTTTAAGGAACATTTTCTATTTGAACATGCTGGTCTAGGTTTTTTAAAGGAATAGTTTTTAAAAGTCTAGCAATTAAAAAAACAATTAAAGAAAACAAAGAAACAAAAATACAGAGCTGAAAAGTTTTTCCCAAGCACCACACTTTCATTTTGCTAACAGCCTAGTGGTTGTAGTTTCACTTAATATTTAGTTATAGTTGTCTTGAGCAGGGAGCTTAAAAAAGTGGTATTAAGGGCTGGGGTTGTGGCTTAGTGGAAGAACACTCAACTCACCTAGCACATATGAGGCACTGTGTTCAATCCTCAGCACCAAATAAAAATAAAAGGTATTGTTTCCATCCACAACTAAAAAATCATTTTTTCAAAAAAGTGATATTAAGACTTGAACCATCAAATCATATTTGTGATATAATGATAATTTTTATCATAAAAATATGATTATTGCATTACATCAGTGTTACTGTCTGTGACAAAGGACATTTGCTTAGTCCTGTGACAGCAAGAGGCCCTGTTTGGTTGGGCCTCTTGGAATGGGCCACCTCACCAGGCAACTACTTCTGCAGTGTGGCACTAGGACTCCTTGCTATGCATGGTCTGGCCCCAGCTTTGTGCTTTGTCTGAGAAGAAGAAGCTGGAAGCCACCTGGATCAGAGCCAAGTCTTCCTGTTCATTTTGATAGGCACTCACTGTGGTGTCCTGTTACCTGTCAACCTAGCTAAGCAGGAAATGTGTTTCTGAGAATTTCCTTTGTGGTATGTACGGTTCTGAGTTGGCTTAGAGTTGATCTCAGGGAGAAAAAAAATGCAAAAAGTCTGAAGGAAAAATAAAATCCTTGCGTTGTTCTGAAATCATCATTGATTGAAGCTGTGACACAGAGAACCAGAGGTGCTGGGCAGGTGTCAGAGCACTTGACAGGTGCACATGAGGCCCTGGGTTTGATTCCCAGCACTGAAAAAAGAAGAGAATAAAAGGTGCCAGTGGTTCCAGTGTGCAGACCTTTCCCCACTCCACATATTGCTGTCCATGCTGACACCAGTCCTGCTCACCAGTGGGACACCCTGCCCCACCAGCCCTCCCTGAGAACTCGTGGGACAGTGCACACAAAGAGCCAGCCATCTTCCATGGATTCCAGCCCCTGCCTCTTTCAAGGTCCATCCAGGGCTTTCATGTATGTAACTCATCCCAGGCTCCATTTCGTTCCCCATCACCAGACCTAATTAGAATATTTTTTTTCCTAATTAGTTTTTGACCTTTCCTAAACTAGTTTCTCCTCAAGTTGTGTCAGGTCTGATTCCTATGATAAATTTTTTTATTTTTTCATGCTTGTGCAGGTTGATTTCAGTGTCATTATTGTCACTGCCATTCATAGTATCGATTAACCACAGGCCAGGCCAAACACGTTGTCAAAACCCAGTACATTATTAGTGCTTATTTTTAGAGTATTTCAGTGTGACTTTGTTTTGTAATTTTTTTCTGCTTTTTATCCTTCTTTTTGTCTTCTTTTTATCTTTTTCTTGGTGTCTGGGGAACTTTAATGTCCACATGAACCATTGGATAAGCAGAAAATAGCAGAAAATAGAATCAAAGCTCTGGGATTACGGGACATCAGCCCAAGAAAAGCCCTCTGATAGCCCCTAACAGGGTTCTGAATCTTTGCCCATGACATATCTGCTGCCAAGAATCAAAGACCATGAAGCCAGGAATTGTGTTCACAGGGCAGAGGTAAAGCATGATGTATCTCTCTCTGCTCTGAGCTGGTACATAATAAGATTTGCTTGAGGAAAATGGCAAGTGTAGATGATGGTAAGTGTCCCCTACGGACACACTTAGTGGTAGCTGAGCCACCATGGTTTTGCTCCCTGGTTCTCACTAGGCAATGCTCTTCATTCTCTGTTTTCAAGACTTCAAATCCTCTGTAACCCTTCATGTTATTTGTTTTTCTCTTGTTTTTTAAATGATAGAATTTAATCAATCTTGCTGTGATTCAAAACCTGCAGGCATTGCTTGTTAATGTGTGGTATTTGCTTAATACTAAACTGTGGCTTTTTGAAACATTCTTCCCTCGGTACACGCAACAATATGCAAGACAGATGCTCAGTCGTTTCCTTGTCCTGTCTCTTCACATGTTTCCTGGACACATTTTCTTCTAATAAATGGTGCTAATATATTTTGTTCACTCTTTATTGCATCATGCAGATTTGTTGGTCTGTGACATTTTTTTGCTTTCTCTTAGGAAATTATCTCTGCCTTCATTGTTCTACTTTTTATTAGCTACCTTCTGACAGCACTTTCTAGGTCTGCCAGCTCTGTAATATGAAGTCTTCCTTGCAGGCTACCTTCTGCCTTCTCACACTATGGAGCACTATCTCAAGAGCTGCTCAGTAAAACCTTCCCTAGGTATGTTTGATAAGCTGTGTAGCTGCAGACAGGGCTCCCTGCTGTGCTCTCTGGCTCTCCTGCTCCATCATCAACAACACACAGGAAATTCATCAGTGGATCCTTCTATGAACCCCTCTCTCTACCTGGTTGCCTCATGTTTTCTCTTGATTTGAGGGTCCAGCATGTGACAAGATGGTACTGAACAGTCTTAGAGAGCCAGTTGCCAAAGGACAGATCATAGAAATGTACAGTAACGTGTAGAATCACCTACAGATCTAGCTGTGGGATTTCACATAGATTCAGCAAGAACATCTGGCCAACATGGAAGAGCAAGGCAAAGATCTAGGTCTTCAAATATTTGGGGAACTTTCTATGTCAGTTGATCACTTTATTCCCATTTTTCTAGGTCAAGACAAACAACTCCAACACTCAACACAGATTCTTATCTAGAATTCTGTCCCCAAACCTATGCTCTCAAGTTCTCATTCGAAGGAAATTGTGGTCTTCCCTCTCCCAGGCTCCTCCTACAGGGCCCCTGGGGTCTGTGTGGGGGGAGGTACCGGCTGCAACCCTTCTTGCCTAGGTCTCTGACTTCCGCCCAGCACTGTGTCACTGCCTCCACAGAAGTAGAAGCTGCTGTCTGCAGAATGTGCGCTGGTCACCTTCAGAGATGAAAAGCTGAGGTTTGGGTGACTGATGAGAAACTTTTCCTTGTCAAAACCTTGTTCATATATGACATCAGAGCCCACATTAGAGAGTGCCATCAGCACAAAGCTCTGTTTGGGGAACTGACGGTACCATAACACAGTTGTGGCCTGGAAGTCCACAAAGCGACACTCGATCTTCACAGAGGTCCCACTCTTACAGATGGCCCTGCTTGGATGTTGAGAGACATGAGCACCAAGCCCAGAGCCTGCTGAAACACAGGGACAGAAGATGCCAGCAGGACCAGAGTCAGACAGGACCCAGGACACTCAGCCTCTGCCATCACCTTTCCCCCAGCCCCTGGAGAATCCCTGTCTGTCCCCAAGCATCCTCTCAGACTCCCTGGGTCCTAATCCCCCACCTCCCCTAACTGGTGCCTCACCCTGTACACTTGAGACAGCCTGGACGCGCCCTCTCACTTTTAGAAGCACACACACTCCACAATGCCTGGCATACTTCACTCACACCAGCACAAGCACACACACTCCCACTCTCCCAGGCAGGAGAAGGCTCATACTGGGCCCCAGAAGCAGCAGGAGCAGCAGCACCTTCAGCGTTGGCCTCACACCACCTTCTCTGGGGAGGTCTGACCATGTGCCCCTTCTTCCTCTTCCCAGCCCTGGAGGATGGGCTCCTGAACACAGGGTCCTGGGGTGCTCTCATCTGCCCCCTGGTGTGGCCCTTGCCAGTGATACAAGGAGCTTCCAACTTCCTGTGAAAGAACCATCTTGCTGGAGAAGGCCTCAGAGGCTTGCCAGGTCAACCTCCAGATGTGTAGAGGTGCTCTGAGACCCATACCACTGGGACAATTTCAGCGAGTTTCTTAGGTGGCAAAGGGGACATACTTTCAGGTAGTAAATGCATTTTATTCAATCATTAGCTTCTTGTGCTATCTTCAAGTCATCCCTTCAGGACAACTCATGGCTGTTAATCACTGGACTACAGGCCGGCTCTATCTTGTGAATTCTCAGTGCCCAGAGCAGCACCTGGGCTGAAAGTTCAGTGCTTCTTTATAATCAGGTGAGGGCACTTCCTGCCTACCAGTGAGCTCTACACCTCATGACCATCTATCTCATAACAATTCCCCTCACATTTCAGTGGACTTGGTTCTAAAAACAATGCTGGTTTATCCTGTAAGTCTTCATGTAAAGAAAGTTATGACAGTAATTAATTTACATCATTTTACTAAAATGGAGGTCACACTAGTAATGCCCATGGGAAATGGATTCTTGGTGATTTAAGGAACTCTTTCTATTTGAACATGCTGGGCTCTGTGTTTTAGTGGACCAGCTTTGAAAACGTCTAGCAATTACAAACAAAACAAAACAAAAAATTCTTAGAGCTGATAGGTTTTTTCCAAAGCATCACACATTTATTTTGAGAACAGTACTCTGTTTTTACTTTCATGTAATTTTTTTTTATAGTTCTCTGGAGCAGGGAGCTTAAAAGATTGAATTAAGACTTGAACCACCAAATTTTATTTGTGATATAGTAAAAAAAAGGATTTTTATCCTAAAAATATAACTATTGCATTACATCAGTGTTAATGTATCTGCTGAAGGGCATCTGCATGGTCCTGTGACTGTATTTGTCTTTCCTGGTTGACTGGGCCTCTTAGAATTGGGCCACCTCACAATGAAACTACCTCTGCACTGGGTAGCTAAGGACTCCTTACTATGGGTGATCTGAGGCCCAGCTTTGTGCTTTGTCTGGGAAGAAGAGGCTGGAAGTGCCCCCAGGATGAGAGCAAAAACTTCGTGTTCTTGTTGAGAAGCACTCACTGTGGTGTTCTTTTACCATGTCAACCTAGCTACACAGGACAATATTTCTGAGAATTTCCATTGTGGAATGAATGGTTCTGGGTTGGCCTAGAGTTGATCATAGGGAGAAGAAATGCCTAAAACTATCAAGGGAAAATAAAGTGCCTGTCATTCTGAAATCATCATTATGCTGTGAAAAAGAAGATGGGAGGTGCTGGGGAGGAGGTGTTAGAGTACTTGACAGGTCCACATGAAGCCCTGGGTGTGGTTCCCAGCACTGGAAAAAAAAAAAAAAATAAAGGTTGCCCGTGGTGCCAGTGTGTGCTGACCTTTCTCTATTCCACGTTCTGCTGTTCATGCTGATCCCCAGTCCTGCTCACCAATGGGACACCCTGCCCCACCAGCCCTCCCTAAGAACTCAGGGGGAATGGGGCACAAACAGCCAGCCTCCCTCATGGATTCCAGCACCAGCGTTGTTCACGGTCAATCCAGGACGGGGTGAACCTAGCTTATTCCAAGCTCCATTTTGTCCCCCATCTCCAGAGCACGTTAGAATTGTTTTTTTTTTAACTAGTTTTGTGGAACCTTATTTATCTAGTGTCTCCCTAAGTTGGGTCAGGTCTAATTCCTCTCATACCTTTTTTATTCCTTCATGCTCCTATTGGTTAATCTTTGTGTCATTATTGATACTGCCATACACAGTATGGATCACTCACATCTAAGCTAAACATGTTGTCAATAGCCCATATGTTACTAGGCCTTATTTTGAGAGTATTTCAATGTCAATTTGTTGTGTAATTTTTTTCTTCTTTTTTTTATATGAGATGTCATTTCTTGATGTCTGTGGAACTGTACTGTCCACAAGAACCATTGGGTAAGCACCCAGAAATTAGAGTCAGAGCTCTGGGATCATGGGGTCGGAGGAAGCAGGGGTAAAATGACACAAGAAGATCCCTCGTACTGGGTCTGAGAGCCCCTAACAGAGTTCTACCTATTTGTCCAGTACATATCTGCTGCCAGGAATCAAAGACCACGCAGCCAAGAATTTTGTTCCACAGGGCAGAGTTAAAGCGTGATATATCTCTCTCTGTTCTGAGCTGGTACATGCTATGGATTTTCTTGAGAAAAAGGCAATGCAGATGATAGTAAGCGTCCTCTATGGTCAGGCCACTTGGTGATGGCTGAACCTGCTCCATTTTGCTCCCTGGTTCTCACTAGGTAATGCTCTTCATCTTCCATTTTCAAGACCTCAAATCCCCTGTAACTCTTTCATATATTTGTTTTTTTCTCACAATTTTTATGCATAGAACTTAATCCATCATAACTTGTGATTCAAAACATGGAGACATTGCTTGTCAATGCATGGTTATTTATTTAACACTGAACTATGGGCCTTTGAAACTTCTCCCCCTCCCCACACAACCATATGCAAGACAGATGCTGTGTGGTTACCTAGTTCCATCCCTTCAAGTTTAAATGGATACATTTTCTTCTTCTAATAAATGGAGCTGATGTACTTGGCTCTTTTGTAAATTAGATCCTGCTGATTTGTTGGTTAATGTCATGTTTTGTTTCCCCTTAGAAAATGATTTCTCCAAGGACCTGCCTTCAGTGCTCAACTTCTACCTGCTGACAGAATTTTCTAGATTTGTCAGCCATGGAATCTAAAGTCTTCATTACTGGGTTCCTCTGCCTTCTCTCACTATTGACCGCAATCACAAGAGCAGTTCAACAAAATCTTCTCTAGGTATGTTCCAGATACTCTCTGTAACTGCAGCGGGGGTTCCCGCCTATGTTCTTTCTCCTGTTCATCATCAAGAACCCACAGGATACCTCAGCAGTAATTCTTTCTAGGAGTAACTCTGTCTGCCTGGTTGCCTCATGTTATCTCTTGCTCTTGAGAGTCCAGTATGGTGAGAAGATAGTGCTGATCAGTTGTAGAGAGTCAGCTACTAAAGGAATCCTCATAGAAATGTACAGCCATGTGTGGAAATGTCTACAGCTCTAGCTGTGGGATTATACAGAGAGTCAACAAGAGCATATGGACAACAATATGGTCGAGTCAGGCATCGATCCAGGTCTTCAAATATGGGAGAACTTTCCTTGTTAGTTGGTCAGCTTATTGGCCAAATTTATTCCCATTTTTCTAAGTCTAGACAAAATCCTCCCCACAACTGTCCACACCTCAATTATCCCTATATTTACATACATACAATACACACACACACACACACACACAATGCCCCTACATACATGCTCCCAGAGGTCTCATTCACAGAAGCTGTGGTTTTCCCTCCCCCAGGCTCCTCCCACAGGGCCCCTGGGGTCTGTGGGGGAGGGGAAGGCTGCTGCAACCCTTCTTGCCTAGGTCTCTGACTTCCACCCAGCACTGTGTCACCAGCACAGAAGAAGAAGCTGCTGTCTGCAGAATGTGCGATGGTCAACATCAGAGATGCAAAGGAGGCATTGGGGTGACTTATGGGAAAGTTCTTCTTGTCAAAATCTTGTTCGTAGGTGCCCTCAGATCCCACATTAGAGGTTGCCATCTGCACAAAACTCTGTTTGGGGAACTGACGGTACCAAAACACAACTTGGGCCTGGAAGTCCACAAAGCGACACTCGATCTTCACAGAGGTCCCACTCTTACAGATGGCCCTGCTTGGATGTTGAGAGACATGAGCACCAAGCCCAGAGCCTGCTGAAACACAGGGACAGAAGATGCCAGCAGGACCAGAGTCAGACAGGACCCAGGACACTCAGCCTCTGCCATCACCTTTCCCCCAGCCCCTGGAGAATCCCTGTCTGTCCCCAAGCATCCTCTCAGACTCCCTGGGTCCTAATCCCCCACCTCCCCTAACTGGTGCCTCACCCTGTACACTTGAGACAGCCTGGACGCGCCCTCTCACTTTTAGAAGCACACACACTCCACAATGCCTGGCATACTTCACTCACACCAGCACACGCACACACACGCCCACTCTCCCAGGCAGGAGAAGGCTCATACTGGGCCCCAGAAGCAGCAGGAGCAGCAGCATCTTCAGCGTTGGCCTCACACCTCCTTCTCTGGGGAGGTCTGACCATGTGTCCCCTTCTTCCTCTTCCCAGCCCTGGAGGATGGGCGCCTGAACACAGGGTCCTGGGGTGCTCTCATCTGCCCCCTGGTGGTGGTCCATGACAGTGATAGGAGATGCAGCCTCCTCAAATGTTTAGAAGGTGCTCTGGGACCATGAACTCTGGCATGATTTAGCAAGTTTCTTAGATGGAAAAGGAGACATATATTTGAGTAGTAAATGAATTTTAATCAATCCTTAGCTTTTTTATCCTATCTTTAAAATAATGGCACCAAGACATCTCAAGCTGTCAATCACTGCACTAGAGGCCCACACTGCCTCATGAATCCACAGTGTCAGGGCAGCACCTGGGCGGGAGGTTCAGTGCTTCTCCATAATCAAGTTGAAGGCACTTGTCACCTTCCATCAAGCTCTTCCTCTCATGACCATCTCATGACAATTCCCCTCACATGTCAGTGGTCTTAAGACTAAAAATACATGTGTTTACCCTGTGTGTTTTCAGGTAAAGGAAGTTATGACACTACTTTATCATGAGTTTACTGTAATGCAGGTCACACTAAGTACTGGTGAATGGAAATGCATCCTGTGTGGTTTAATGAACGCTTTCAATTTGAACATGCTGGGCTAGGTATGTCAATGGGCCAGTTTTGGAAAAGCCTAACAATTACAAATAATCAGAAGAAAACAAGCAAGACAAACAACAAGAAAAATGTAGAGCTGAAAGGTTTTTCAAAAAGAACCACACTTTCATTTTGAGAATAGCCTGCTGGTAGTACCACCACTTTGTATTTAGTAACAGATCTCTGGAGCAGAGAGTTAAAAAAGTGATATTAAGACACAAATCATCAAATCATATTTGTGATTTAGTGAAAATGACTTTAACATAAAAATTTAATCATGCATTGGATCCTTGTAAATATATCTGCGGCATGCCATCAGCAGGGTCTTGACTACATTTGCCTTTCCTGGTTGGCTGGGCCTCTGGAATTGGGCCACCTACTTCTGCATTGAGTTCCTAAGCAGTACTTGCCATGGATGGTCTGGGGCCCACCTTTGTGCTTTGTCTGAGAAGAAGAGGCTAGAAACCCCCCAGATCAGAGCAAAATCTTCCTGTTCTTCTTGAGAAGCACTCACTGTGGTGTTTGATACATTGTCAACCTAGCTACTCAGGACAATATTTCTGAGAATTTCCTTTGTGGTATGTATGGTTCTGGTTTGGCTTAGAGTTGATCACATGGAGAAGAAATGCCTAAAAGTATCCAGGGAAAATAAAATGCCTGCCATCACTGTAAAATCATCATTGGTGTGAAGCTGTGAAAAAGAGGATCAGAGGTGCTGGGCAGGTGTAGAGCACTTGATGGGTACACCTGAAGCCCTGGGTTTCATTCCCAGCACAGAAGAGAGAGAGAGAGAGAGAGAGAGAGAGAGAGAGAGAGAGAGAGAGAGAGAATAAAGGTGCCAGTGGTTCCAGTGTGCAGACCTTTCTCTACTCCATGTCCTGCTGTCCATGCTGACTACCAGCCTGGCTGACCAATGCTACCCCCAACCCATCGGCCCTCCCTGAGAACTCGTGAGGCAATAAACACAAAGAGTCAGCCTCCTTCTGTGGATCCCAGTACTGGCCTCATTGATGGTCCATCCAGGGGCTTCCTCTAACTGACTTATCCCAAGCTCCAGCTCATCCCCCTACCAGACCTCATTAGAATTTTTTTTTTTTCTAACTAGTTTTGGACCTTTCCTAATCTACTTTCTCCCCAGGTTGAGTCAGGTCTGATGCCTATCATGACTCCTTCTCACTCATATTGGTTCATTTTTGTTTCATTATTGACGCTGCGGTAGATAGTACGGATTAGCTACAGCCCAGGCCGAGCCTGTTTTCAGCAGCCAGTTTGTTATCAGTCCTTATTTGTAGAGTATTTCAATGTCACTTTCTTTTGTGTTTTTTTTCTTCTTTTTATCCATGTGATGACTTTTCCTGATGTCCTGGTAACTTCAGTGTCCACGAGAACCACTGAGTAAGAGTCAGAGCTCTGGGATCACAGGGAAGGTGGGTGGCACAAGAAGATCCCTGGTACTGGGGTCTGAGAGACCCTAACATGGTTCCACATCTTTGCACAGGACACATCAGCTGCCAGGAATCAAAGGCCATGCAGCCAAGAATCCTGTCCCACAGGGCAGAGGTAAAGCATGGTGTGTCTCTTTCTGCTCTGAGTCGGTACATGCTAAAGATTTGCTTTGGGGAAATGGCAAGTGTGGACGATGGAAAACATGGCTATTTATCATCATCATCAGATGATGGTCAGCATCCTAAATGGACAAGCCACTAGATGGTGGCTGAACCACTTGTGATTCTGCTCCCCATTTCTCACAAGTTAATGTTTTTCATCCCCCATTTACAAGACCTCAAATCCTATGTAAACCTTTCATATATTTGATTTTTTTCCCTCTTTTTATGCATAGGACTTAATCAATCTTAACCTGTGATTTAAACATGCAGGCATTGCTTGTCAATGCATGGTTATTTACCTAATACTAAACTGTGGGCCTTTGAAACATTTCCCCGCCCCACACAATCATATGCGAGACAGATGTGTGTGGTCCCCTTGTCCCATCTCTTCACATGTTTACTGGACAAAATTTTTTGATCTCATAAATGGATACCAACGTAGTTTGCTTTTTAAAATCAGATCCTGCGGATTTGTTGGTCAATGTCATATTGGTTTGCTCTTAGAAAACGATTTCTCCAAGGCCCTGCCTTCACTGCTCAACTGGTCATCTTCTACCTTCTGACAGAACTTTGTAGATCTGTCAGCCGTGAAATCTTCAGTCTTCATTACAGGGTTCCTCTGCCTTCTCTCACTATCGACCCCAATCCCAAGAACAGCTCAGCAAAACCTTCTCTGGGTATGTTTCAGATACACTCTGTACCTGCAGACGGGTTTTACCTCAGCAGTGGATCCCTCTATGAGTAACTCTCTCTGTCTGGTTGCCTCATGACTTCTCTTGGTCTTGAGGGTCCAGCATGGTGACAAGATCATGCTGAACAGCCCTAGAGAGCCAGCTAACAAAGGAAACACCGTGGAAATGTACTGCAATGTGTAGAATGTCTACAGCTCTAGCTGTGGGATCACATGTACATTGATCAAGAACGTATGTTAGAGTTAGGCAACGATCCAGCTCTTCAAATATAGGAGAGTTTTCTGTATGAGTTGGTCACTTTATTGGCCAAATTTTATTCCCATTTTTCTAGGTCTAGACAAAATCTCCCCCACAACCATCCACACAGATTCTCTGTCTACACACACACACACACACACACACACACACACACACAAACTCCCAGTGGTCTCAGAGAAGCTGCGGTTTCCCTCCCCCAGGCTCCTCCTACAGGGCCCCTGGGGTCTGTGGGGGAGGGCCAGGCTGCTGCAACCCTTCTTGCCTAGGTCTCTGACTTCCACCCAGTGCTGTGTCACTGCCTGCACAGAAGTAGAAGCTGCTGTTTGTAGAATGTGCGCTGGTCACCTCCAGAGATGCAAAGGAGGCATTGGGGTGACTGATGGGAAAGTTTTCCTTGACAAAATCTTGTTCGTAGGTGCCCTCAGATCCCACATTAGAGGTTGCCATCAGGACGAAGCTCTGTTTGGGGAACTGACGGTACCAAAACACAGTTAGGGCCTGGATGTCCACAAAGTGACACTCGATCTTCACAGAGGTCCCACTCTTACAGATGGCCCTGCTTGGATGTTGAGTGACATGAGCACCAAGCCCAGAGCCTGCTGAAACACAGGGACAGAAGAGGCCAGCAGGACCAAGTCACACAGGACCCAGGACACTCAGCCTCTGCCATCACCTTTCCCCCAGCCCCTGGAGAATCCCTGTCTGTCCCCAAGCATCCTCTGACTTGCTGGGTCATAATCCCCCATCTCCCCTAACTGGTGCCTCACCCTGTACACTTCAGACAGCCTGGACGCACCCTCTCACTTTTAGAAGCACACACACTCCACAATGCCTGGCACACTTCACTCACATCATCACACGCACACACACTCCCACTCTCCCAGGCAGGAGAAGGCTCATACTGGGCCCCAGAAGCAGCAGGAGCAGCAGCATCTTCAGCGTTGGCCTCACACCTCCTTCTCTGGGGAGGTCTGACCATGTGCCCCCTTCTTCCTTTTCCCAGCCCTGGAGGATGGGCGCCTGAACACAGGGTCCTGGGGTGCTCTCATCTGCCCCCTGGTGGTGGACTTTCATAGTGATACAAGATGCAGCCTTCTCAAATGTATAGAAGATGCTCTGAGACGTAGAACTCTGTAATGATTTAATAGAGTTTCTTAGGAGCCCAAGGGACATACATTTGGGCAGTAAGTGCATTTGCCTCAATATTTAGCTTCTATGTCTTATATTCAAAGTAATAGCACCAGGGCAACTCATGGCTGAACTTGCTGGGCTAGGTGTTTTAATGGACCAGTTTTGAAAAAGTCTAGCAATTATAAAAAAATTAGAAGGAAAGAAACAAACCAACAACAACAACAAAAATGGAGCTGAAAGTTTTTTTTTCCCCAATGCACCACACTTTCATTTCTGTAACAGCGTACTGTCATATTGTGACACAGTGAAATTTTTTTATCAAAAAATTTAAGTGTTGCATTGCATCAGTGTTAACGTATGCTCTTAAGGGCATCTGCATGGTACTGTGACTGCATTTGCCTTTCCTGGTTGGCTGGGCCTCTTGGAATGGCGCCTCTTCACAATGTAACTATCTTGGTAATGATTTCCTAGGAGTACTTGCTATGATGGTCTGGGGCCCAGCTTTGTGCTTTTTCTGGGAAGAAGAGGCTAGAAACCCCCCAGATCAGAGCAAAATCTTCCTGTTGTTTTTGAGAAGCACTCACTGTGGTGTTTGATACATTGTCAACCTAGCTAAGCAGGATTATATTTCTGAGAATTTCATTTGTGGTATGTACGGTTCTGGGTGAAGCAATGTCTAAAAGTATCCAGGGAAAATCAAATGCCTGCTATCACTCTAAAATCACCATTGATGTGAAGCTGTGAAAAAGAGGATCAGAGGTGCTGGGCAGGTACACATGAGGCCCTGGGTTCGATTCCCAGCACTGTAAAAAAGAAGAGCATAAAGGGTGTCAGTGGTTCCAGTGTGTGCTGACCTTTCTCTACTTCACGTCCTGCTTTCCATGCTGACCACCAGCCTGCCTGACCAATGGGATCCCCAGCCCCACAAGCCCTCCCTGAGAACTCATAGGACAGTGGACACTAAGAGCCAGCCTCCTCCATGGATTCCAGCACTGGTCTCATTCATGGTCCATCAGGGGCTCAGGTGTACCTAGCTTACCCCAAGCTCTTGTTCATCCTCATCACCAGACATAGTGAGAATCTGTTTTCCAACTAGTGTTTTTTACCTTTCCTTATCTGGTTCTCCTATGTTGTGTCCGTTATGATTCCTAACATAAAGTTTTTATTCCTTCATGCTTATATTGATTAATTTTTTGTGTCATTCTTGACACTGCCATATATGGTAAGGATTAGCTACAGCCCAAATCAAACATGTTGTTAATAGCCAGTCCGTTACTTGTGCTTATTTTAAGAAATATTTCAATGTCACTTCCTTTTGTGTTTTCTTCTTCTTTTTATCCATGTTTTGAGTTTTCTTGATGTCTGGGGGACTTTAGTGTCCACGAGAACCACTGGGTAAGCAGACAGAAGTTAAGCGCTCTGGGATCACAGGTCTGTATCCCAAGAACAGCCCTGGTACTGGGCTCTCTAGCCTCTAACAGAGTTCTACTCATTGCCCAGGACATATCTGCTGCTAGAAGCAAAGGCCATGCAGCCAAGAACCATGCTCCACAGGGCGGAAGTAAAGCGTAGTGTACAGCCTTCCTTCTCTGAGCTGGTACATGGTACCATATATAGCTTGAGGAAAATGGCAAGTGTACCATTGTCTAATGATAAACACACAGGAAAGTGACTAGTTAAGTATTGTCAAAACAATAATATCTCCAGTTACTACAGTTAGAGCTCACATTCTGACTACCCACAATATTGGAAACCAGAAAGGAAACAAAGATGTGAATTGCTCTGCCGCAGTCCGGCTGCAGCAAAATAACCGGGGGTGACGAACAACTTGTGTAGATTGATACAGCAGGAGTGGAAGCCGTTTACTGCAGGACAGGAGCAGTATTTATACATTCCACACAACTTATCTAATTAGCATAAACTAGATACATCAGTCAACCAATAAGAAATCTCCACACTTAATGGCTCTCTGGTGTTACTTCACAAACCACTCCCTCTGGCATTTTGCCAGGCGCCATCCAGACTTGTTTACAGACTCTAACATTTTCCAGGCGCCATCCTGACTTGTTTACAGACTCTAACATTGCTCGAAAGTTCATGTGTGCTCTAGAGAAGTGTAAAGGTAAGACCAGTCCCAGGGTTTGTGAAATTTTATGGTTATCCATCAAATAAATGGAAATAGGTTATATATTTTTGGAATAAAAAATAATGAAATAAAACATCCAAATGTCTTCCATAAATGATGGGAAAAAACAATCCTGGCAAAATTAGAGGGTAAAACTAAATAAAAGATAAATTCAGATCTTATTAATTACATACTAAAGGAAACTATACAGTAATACAATAAAATAATCCGCTGGGCATTCTAGTTGTATAAGTCATAATACTCAAAATACATTATACAATCCTTATAAAACACCCACCTACAGAATAAGGAAATTAATCATCAGGGAGATGCAAATCAAAATCAGGAGGAAATATCTGCTCAAATTAGTAAAAAGAGCTATGGTCAAACAGACTATAGATAAAACATGCTGGCAAGGTTGTGGGGGAAAGGCGACACTTGCACACTGTTGGTGGGAATGTTAATTAGGATATTCACTATGGAAAACATCACCTGAATTCTTCAAAAAATTAAAGATATAACTACTATATGATCCAGCAATCCCAATCCTGGGTATATATCCAAAGGGAATGGAATCGGTATATCAAAGAGACTCTATACTTCCATGTTCAAAATAGCCAAATAATGGAAATCACCTGAGTGTCCATCAGCTGATAAACAATGTGGTACATATTCACAGTAGAATATTATTCAGCTTTAAAAAATGAAATCCTATTTGTGTCAGCAGGGATGGAACTGGAGATCATTTTGTTAAATGAGATAAGCCAGGCACAGGAAGACAAGTACTCCAGGGTCTCACTCATGTGTAATATTAAAAAGTTCACTTCATAGAAGTTAAGAGTGGAATGGTGGTTACCAGGGGCTGGGGAAAGCCGAGTGCAGGGAAGCATGGGGAGAGGTTGATCAATGGGTTCTGAGTTCAAGTTCAATGGGTATAAGTAGTTCTGTTGTTCTATTGCATAGTAGAGTGTCTATAAATAATAATATTGTGCTGTATATTTCAAAAAAGGGAGAAGGATTTTGAATATTTTTACCATAAAGAAATGATACTATTTGAGGAGACAGGTATGTGTAGCCGGACTTAAACATTATACAATACAAGTTGGTGTTCTAACAGCACGTGGGACACCATTGGTAAATACCACTTTTATGAATTTATGTATCACTTAAAACTCAGTTTTATTAAAAAAAAGACAAAAGGGGGATAAATATAGAAACATAGAAAAATAAATACTGGATAAATACTATTTTTTTAGAGAGAGAGAGAGAATTTTTTAATATTTATTTTTTAGTTTTCAGTGGACACAACATCTTTATTTTATTTTTTTATGTGGTGCTGAGGATCGAACCCAGCGCCCCGCACATGCCAGGCGATCGCACTACCACTTGAGCCACATCCCCAGCCCAAATACTATTTTTTTTAAAAGAGAGTAGCTTACCAGGTAATGACCACAGATTCAGATGACCATAGTATGGCATCTGGCCTTCAGAGACGCGACCGGATCAAACAGCTTCCAGCGCTCCCATCCCAGAGAGTCCTCCTGAGCCTGAGAGGACGAGAATGTGGTGGAAACCCGTCGCATGTTTTCCAGGCTGGACCATAAACAGCTGCGTAAATCCCACTGCATTACATGAAGGCTGGCTCTCAGGGAAGCCGGCTACCATGTAGGAATTCTGACCACCCAGAGGCCATCATGCTGCACAGAAACCCACCTGGTCACATTGAAGGGCTGAGTGGAAGGGGCTTACCTGCCTTGGCCTCCGGCTGCCCCAGCCTCCAGCGGAGGTGCCAGAAGGTGCGTGGAGAAGCTGGTCGAGCCTTCGGGTGTCCCCAGCCTCAGTGACTATCTGACTGCAAGTACATGTAAGGCCCTAAGTGAGACCTGCCCTGCTGGGCCCTTGCAACCTACAGAACCCGTCTGTTCTGACTTCAGAGTGTATTCATCTGTGTCCGGCTTCTTCTAGTCAACATTATATTTTTTATATTCTCCCATGTTGTTTTAAATCATAGTTGATTTTTTTTTGCAATATTTCCTTCTGTGACATAAATGTAACGCAGTCCATCTACCACTGCCTTGCTGACATGGAGTTCAGTATTTTTCAGTTTGGGGACATCATTAATAAGAGTACTGTGACAGCACCTTCTCAGATACCCTTTTCTGTACCCTTCACACTCTCTCCTATTTCTTGAGCTTTGACACAGTAAACTAATTGGCTTTCTGACTTGCCTGATTTTTGGAGGCTCTCTTACAATTTCCATGCTTAGATGTACAGGAGCACCTCCTGGGCATGTGACTCAGATACCCCAAAACAAACCAGAAACTCCATCTTGTTCAATCAGTTCAGTCCATTCATTGTTCCAAATTTCCTCCCACTGCCAGATATAGGGGTGTAGATCTTCCTTCCTGACACCATGTCACCACTTGTCCCTTTCATCATTCCCGAAGCCTGTGCCACTCTTTTGATACTTGTACAAAAGATGAAATCCTACCCATCATTCAAGTTTCACCTCAGAATCTCCTGCTCTCTTGTTAGAGTCTGTAAACTAGTCAAAAATAACACCTGGCATTTTGCCAGGGGAATGTTAGAGTTCGTAAACAAGTCTGGATGGTGCCTGGCAAAATGCCAGAGGGAGTGGTTTGAGAAGTAACAAAAGCGAGCCATTAAGTGTGGAGATTCCTTATTGGTTGACTGATGTATCTAGTTTATGCTAATAAGATAAGCTGTGTGGAATGTATAAATACTGCTCCTGTCCTGCAATAAAGGGCTCCTACTCCTGCTGTATCAAGTATACAAGTTATTCGTCACCCCCCGGCTAGTTTGCTGCAGCCAGACAGACTGCGGCACTCTCTGAAGCCCTTCCTGATGTCTTGGGGCAGAACTGGCCATGTCATTTCCTAGGCACCAAACGCCCTTGATTAAAGCACACGTATGATACAGGGACTCCAGAATATCTAGGGGTGGGACTCACCACTTGGTGGCTGAGTGAAGTTCCCCCCAGAGTTCCCTGGTGGCAGCAGCTGCTTTGCTTTGGGTGCCTGGCTGTGGTGGAAGAGGGCAGAGCAGGGACTGGGGACAGAAGAGCCACCTGGTGGGGGAAAGCAGGGCTTGAGAAGTTATCTGTACAGAGAGGAGGTGGCTGTGCCCCACTGTGATAAACTACTGGCACAGAGATAGAGGGAAGTGTGCTTCTTCTCAGCTGATGTCACGGTGAGGGGAAAGGAAGGCTTCTGCTCCCTGGAGGCACCATAGCCCTCAGCTAGGTCTCCTTCCTGGACATCCTTTTCCACTGTTGAGTAGTAGATCAGTCTCAACCCCAGCCCTGGGTCCTGCCGGTACCAATACATGGCATTATGACCCGAATTCTGTTCGAATCCCAGGGTGACACCCTGTCCTTCCTTTCTGAACAGGAACTTTGGAGTTTGAGTGATGCCACCATCCATGAGTCCTGGGGATGAAAGAGAGAGACTGGAAACGCAGCCCAAGAGGAGCCTGAAGCTGCTGTCCCAGGGAAAGCCTTGGAGGATGACCTTCCAGATAGGAATGGCCTCCATAACCCAGGACTCACCTGCTCTGAGGAGACAAAGGACCACCCAGCAGAGCACATGGTTGCACATAGTGGTAGGGGGTCTCCCTTAGCTCCAAGCACTTTCAGAGGAGAAGGCGAAAGAAGCTTGGCTCCAGGACTTGCTTAATTTGCCTAGTGGCTTGGGAGGCAGATCCTATAGGGCTTCCTATTTTGCTCATAGGGAGGCAGCAGAGTGCAGAGCCTATTGCTCTTCCCAGAACTGCACAGAGCTAGTGAGGAGCTGTTGTCTGATTGGCTCTGGTTTCTCCTTCCCACTTTTCAGAGTGCTTGGAGTCCTGTAGGAGCACTCCAGACCCAGTCTGGCCACCTGGTAATATTTGCATTTATCTCCCATTTGGTTTTTAGAAATTGCTTCATTCAAGCAATGATAGAAGACTCTTTTTATTTGTAGATGCCCAATATTTGCTGCATGAAGAGAATTAAATTAAAAAAAATATTCACCTTGAGAAAAAAAATTGAAGTGGTCCATTTCTCATGAATAGTAGTTGTGGGCCAGAACTTTATCCTAAATTCCTGACCAATTCATCCAACACTTGCTTCCCACCATGTCTAAGGTATGCTGTGTCCTGGCGTCCATGCAAACCTGCACAGGCACTGGGAAAGGAACAAGATGAGGATTTTGCCAGAAAGAATATCCAGCAGCATGACTGATATAAACCACAGCACCTCCCTCCACACAAATCTGAGTTTGAATCCTTTCTTGCCACTCACACTTTCTCTGTTCATTTAATGAGATACAAAAATTAACTCATGGGGGATATCTATGACCTGCAGTGACATGAGTCTGCCCTGATGTGGATGTGGAGCTGGCACAGATGCACACTGCCGAGTCTCCAGGTCAGCTGGCTCCATCTTCACGGTTCTGGGTCCCCTCTGGGAAATTCAGCAGATTACTGTTTCTTTGACATTCCTGAGTCATCGATGACATTTTCTTTTTGGAGGTGAACCATGAATTTGAGACCTTCCTCAGGGAGCTGCTGATACCAGAAAGCATTGTTGTGGCCTCTCACTGGGCTGACATCATGTCACCACTTGTCCCTTTCATCATTCCCTAAGCAGGCCCACTCTATTGATACTTGTCCAGAAGATGAAATCCTACTCATCCGTCATCCAGGTTTCACCTCAAATTTGCCTTCTCTCTGAAGCCCTTCCTGGTGTCATGGGGCAGAGGTGGCCATGTTATTTCCTAGGCTCCACCTACACCCTTGATTTAAGCATAGTGTGATGACACTGGGACTCCAGTGTCTATACCATATCTATAGCGCTCTCCTGCTCTCTCTCTATAGATAGATAGAAAGATGGTGTCAGTCTCCGTATCAGGCTTTTCATGTATCTGAAGGACCTGACAATTTCTGTCCATTTTACTTTCTAGTGTTCAGTAACAGAGATAAAACCTTGGGTGGTACAATTAAATTATCTTCTGCCTTTTTGGTCTCTCTCTCTCTCTCTCTGGGTTTGTGTGTCTCTGTGTGTGTGTGTGTGTGTGTGTAAACACATGTACTTTTTGAATCATCTTGGTGGCTGAGTGAAGTTCCTGCCCTCCCACAGAGTTCCCTGGTGGCAGTAGCTGCTTTGCTTTGGGTGCCTGGCTGTGGTGGAAGAGGGCAGGGCAGGGACTGGGGACAGAAGAGCCACCTGGTGGGGAAAGCAGGGCTTGGGGAACTTATCTGTACAGAGAGGAGGTGGCTGTGCCCCACTGTGCTAAGCTACTGGCACAGAGATAGTGGGAAGTGTGTTTCTTCTTAGCTGATGTCACGGAGAGGGGAAAGGAAGGCTTCTGCTCCCTGGAGGCACCATAGCCCTCAGCTAGGTCTCCTTCCTGGACATCCTTTTCCACTGTTGAGTAGTAGATCAGTCTCAACCCCAGCCCTGGGTCCTGCCGGTACCAATACATGGCGTCATGACCCGAATTCTGTTCACACCCCAGGGTGACATCCTGTCCTTCTTTTCTCAACAGGAACTTTGGAGTTTGAGTGATACCACCATCCATGAGTTCTGGGGATGAAAGAGAGAGACTGGAAACGCAGCCCAAGAGGAGCCTGAATCTGCTGTCCCAGGGAAAGCCTTGGAGGATGACCTTCCAGACAGGAAGACCTCCATAACCCAGGACTCACCTGCTCTGAGGAGACAAAGGACCACCCAGCAGAGCACATGGTTGCACATAGTGGGAGGGGGTCTCTCTTAGCTCCAAGCACTTTTGGAAGAGAAACGGCAAATGAAGCAGGGCTCTGGGGCTCCCCCTTGCTTAATTTGCCAAGCAGCTTATAAGGCAGATCCTGGAGAAACCCTATAAGGAGTCCCAGTTTTGCAGATAGGGAAGCAGCAGAGTGCTGAGCCGCTTGCCCCGCCCAGAACTGCACAGAGCTGCTGAGGAGCTCTTCTCTGATTGCCTCTGGATTTTGCTTCCTTAAAGCTTGGACTCCTGCAGGAGCACTCTAGACCTCTTATAGAAGAATTTACATTTCTTTTTTAGTGCCATCAGCTGTCTCAGGAAAGAGTGACTGCAGCCATCTGTGACCATGCAGTTTTGGAATATGGTTAGGGGACACCAAGTTCAATGCCCTGCTGTGCTAGGCATTGGCTCCCAAAGCACAGGTGGCCTGGGTGCCTCCTCACACTACCCTCTCTGTCTGCTTGTGCTTCTGCATGCCCTTCCCATTCTCTGATTTTAAATGTCCCTCACTAAATTTTCATTTGCATTTATTCTCGCTTCTGCATATTTTAATATTTTTTCTTTCATTTTTTTTCCTGAGTTCAATCAACTTTTCTCATTTCTGGCTGATGCCAGATCTGTTCTTTGGTTTTGAACTTCTGGTTAATAAATGACTTCTCAGGGACACGCCTGCCCCCTGGACTGTATCTAATTCTGTTGGAAGCACAAGTTAGTTTCCTCCTAACTCATGTTTGCAGGTGTAGTGGCGGCAGAGGTGAGGGGTTTCTGTGAATTTCACATTCCTTTTGTTCATTTATGTGTTATTGGGTCCCACTTCCTTTCCCTTCATTCTAGGAAAGTCTAGACAGCTCATTAAGTGTTGTCTGGGTTTCTGTGGCAATGCTGGCAAGTCCTCTTCATTTGTGATTCTTTTTGTTTTGCAGGATTCTGGTAATTCCCCCTTTTCCTTCCTCTTTCTTCTGAGTCTGAAGACAGTGTGTCAGATTGACAAAGGGTCCATCTTTCTTCTTTGCTATTTTTCCTCCTCCTTCAGAAAACAGTATCTTTGTAAGACTGTCCTTTAAATAATCCCCTTGGAGTTTTGGAAATTCCCATTCTCTGCATGTGTCCTGCTCAGGTGGGGCTCAAGGTTTGGTGTCTTTCTGGTGTTCTCTCCAGCTCTCCCTCAAGACCTCCAAGCAGCAAACTTTTCCTATCTTCCCAGCAGATTTTCTGATCTTTCCCTGCTCTCAGTGGTAGGACCACCCAAAGAAATTACAGAAAATTAAAAGACCAAAGTACACTACAGTTTACACTCCATGCCAGGAAGCTCTGCTTCACTTGTTACATGTGCATTTGAGTTGAATTTGCACTTGTCTTCCATTGGTTTTTAGAAATCGTTTCATTAAAGCAAATGATGGCAGATTCTTTTTGCATAGGTACCCAATATTTGCTGCAAGATGAGATTTAAAAAAAATATTTCCCAAAATAAGAAAAATTTGAAGTGGTACATTTTTCATGAACAGTAGTCGTGTGCCAGACTTTTTCTAAATTCTAGACCAATTTATCCAACACTTGCTTCCCACCATCTCTCAGATAGGCTGCGACATGACGTCCATGCAAACCTGCACAGGCACTGGGCAAAGAACAAGATGAGGATTTTGCCAGAAAGAATATCCAGCAGCATGACTGGATACAAAATCACAGCACCTCCATCCACACAAATCTGAGTTTGAATCCTTTCTTGCCACTCACACGTTCTTTTTGCTCTATTCGTTTAATGAGAAACAAAAATTAACTCCTGGAGGATATCTGTGCCCTGCAGTGACATGAATCTGCCCTGATGTGGATGTGGAGCTGGCACAGATGCACACTGCCGAGTCTCCAGGTCAGCTGGCTCCATCTTCACGGTTCTGGGTCCCCTCTGGGAAATTCAGCAGATTACTGTTTCTTTGACATTCCTGAGTCATCGATGACATTTTCTTTTTGAGGTGAACCATGAATTTGAGACCTTCCTCAGGGAGCTGCTGATACCAGAAAGCATTGTTGTGGCCTCTCACTGGGCTGACATCATGTCACCACTTGTCCCTTTCATCATTCCCTAAGCAGGCCCACTCTATTGATACTTGTCCAGAAGATGAAATCCTACTCATCCGTCATCCAAGTTTCACCTCAAATTTGCCTTCTCTCTGAAGCCCTTCCTGGTGTCATGGGGCAGAGGTGGCCATGTTTTTTCCTAGGCTCCACCTACACCCTTGATTTAAGCATAGTGTGATGACACTGGGACTCCAGTGTCTGTACCATATCTGTAGCGCTCTCCTGCTCTCTCTATAGATATATAGATAGATAGATAGATAGAGTCAGTCTCTCTATCAGGCTTTTCATGTGTCTGAAGGACTAGACAATTTCTGTCCATTTTACTTTCTAGTGTTCAGTAACAGAGATAAACCTTAGGCTGTACTATTATACTCTCTTTTGCCTTCTTGGTGGCTCTTGGATTCTCTCTTTCTCTTTCTCTCACTCTGTGTGTGTGTGTGTGTAAACACATGTTCTTTTAAAATCAACTTGGGGGCTGAGTGAAGTTCCTGCCCTCCCACAGAGTTCCCTGGTGGCAGTAGCTGCTTTGCTTTGGGTGCCTGGCTGTGGTGGAAGAGGGCAGGGCAGGGACTGGGGACAGAAGAGCCACCTGGTGGGGAAAGCAGGGCTTGGGGAACTTATCTGTACAGAGAAGAGGTGGCTGTGCCCCACTGTGCTAAGCTACTGGCACAGAGATAGAGGGAAGTGTGTTTCTTCTCAGCTGATGTCACGGAGAGGGGAAAGGAAGGCTTCTGCTCCCTGGAGGCACCATAGCCCTCAGCTAGGTCTCCTTCCTGGACATCCTTTTCCACTGTTGAGTAGTAGATCAGTCTCAACCCCAGCCCTGGGTCCTGCCGGTACCAATACATGGCATTATGACCCGAATTCTGTTCACACCCCAGGGTGACACCCTGTCCTTCCTTTCTGAACAGGAACTTTGGAGTTTGAGTGATGCCACCATCCATGAGTCCTGGGGATGAAAGAGAGAGAGACTGGAAACGCAGCCCAAGAGGAGCCTGAATCTGCTGTCCCAGGGAAAGCCTTGGAGGATGACCTTCCAGACAGGAATGGCCTCTGTAACCCAGGACTCACCTGCTCTGAGGAGACAAAGGACCACCCAGCAGAGCACATGGTTGCACATAGTGGGAGGGGTCTCCCTTAGCTCCAGGTACTTTTGGAAGAGAAAGGGCAAATGGAGCAGAGCTCTGGGGCTCCCCCTTGCTTAATTTGCCAAGCAGCTTATGAGGCAGATCCTGGAGAAACCCTATAGGGCGTCCCCATTTTGCAGATAGGGAAGCAGCAGAGTGCTGAGCCGCTTGCCCCGCCCAGAACTGCACAGAGCTGCTGAGGAGCTCTTCTCTGATTGCCTCTGGATTTTGCTTCCTTAATGATTGGACTCCTGCAGGAGCACTCTAGACCTCTTATAGAAGATTGTAGATTTCTTTTTTAGTGCCATCAGCTGTCTCAGGAAAGAGTGACTGCAGCCATCTGTGACCATGCAGTTTTAGAATATGGTTAGGGGACACCAAGTTCAATGCTCTGCTGTGCTAGCTAGGCTTTGGGTCCCAAAGCCCAGGTGGCCTGGGTGCCTCCTCTCACCACCCTCTCTCTGTCTTCTTGTGCTTCTGCATGCCCTTCCCATTCTCTGATTTTAAATGTCCCTCACTAAATTTTCATTTGCATTTATTCTCGCTTCCGCATATTTTATTTTTTTTCTTTCACTTTTTTCCTGAGTTCAATCAACTTTTCTCATTTCTGGCTGATGCCAGTTCTGTTCTTTGGTTTTGAACTTCTGGTAATAGGTGACTTCTCAGGGACACGCCTGCCCCTGGACTGTATCTAATTCTGTTGGAAGCACAACTTAGTTTCCTCCAAACTCAGGTTTGCTTGGGTTCGGGGGCCGAGGGGTGGCGGCAGAGGTGAGGGGTTTCCTCCCTCTGTGGATTTCACATTCCTTTGTTCATTTGTGTGTTATTGGGTTCCACTTTAGTGGCATCCTTTTCCTTCATTCTAGGAAAGTCTAGACAGCCTATTAAGTGTTGTCTGGGTTCCTGTGCCAATGTTGTCAAGTCCTCTTCATTTGTGATTCTTTTTGTTTTGCAGGACTCTGGTATTTCCCCCTTTTCCTTCCTCTTTTTTCTGTATCTGAAGACAGTGTGTCAGATTGACAAAGGGTCCATCTTTCTTCTTTGCTATTTTTCCTCCTCCTTCAGAAAACAGTATCTTTGTAAGACTGTCCTTTAAATAATCCCCCTGGTGTTTAGAAATTCCCATTCTCTGCATCTGTCCTGCTCAGGTGGGGCTCAAGGTTTGGTGTCTTTCTGGTGTTCTGGTCTCTCCCTCAAGCCCTCCAAGCAGCAAACTTTCCCTAGCTTCCTGATAGATATTCTGATTTTTCCCTGCTCCCAGTGGTAGGACCACCCAACTAAATTACAGAAAATCAAAAGACCTGGGCTGGGGATGTGGCTCGAATGGCAACGTGCTCGCCTGGCATGCGCGGGGCTCTGGGTTCGATCCTCAGCACCACATAAAAGTAAAATAATGATGTGTCCACTGAAAACTAAAAAATAAATATTAAAAATTTTCTCTCTCTCTAAAAACAAAACAAAACAATAAAACAAACAAACAAACAAAAAACCCCAAAAGACCAAAAGTGCAGGACACTACAGTTTACGCTCCATGCTAGGAAGCTCTGCTTCATTTGGTACATGGGCATTTAGGTTACTTTGCATTTGTCTGCCATTTGGTTTTTAGAAATCGCTTCATTAAAGCAAATGATAGCAGACTCTTTTTTTGTAGGATGCCCAATGTTTTCTGAGTGATAATTAAAAAATATTCATCATGATAAAATACATTTGAAATGTACATTTCTCATGAACAGGAGCTGTAGGCCAGAAATTTTTTCTAAATTCTAGACCAATTTATCCACTGTTGCTTTCCCCCATCTCTCAGATACCCTATGTCCTGGCGTCCATGCAAAGCTGCACAGGCACTGGGCAAAGAGCAAGATGAGGATTTTGCCAGAAAGAATATCCAGCAGCATGACAGTATATAAAATCACAGCATCTCCATCCACACAAATATGAGTTTGAATCCTGTCTCTGCCACTCACAACTTCTTTTTGCTCTGTTTGTTTAATGAGAAACAAAAATTAACTCCTGGAAGATGTTTGTGCCTGGCAGTGACATGAGTCTGCACTGATGTGGATGTGGAGCTGGCACAGATGTACACTGCCGAGTCTTCCAGGTCAGCTGGCTCCATCTTCAGGGTGCTGGGTCCCTCTCTGGGAAATTCAGCAGAATATCGTTTTCTTGGCATTCCTGAGTCATTGATGACGTTTTCTTTTTGGAGGTGAGACATGAATTTCAGACCTTCTTCAGGGAGCTGCTGATACCAGAAAACATTGTTGTGACCTTTCTCTGGGCTACATCTCAGAGCTGCCTCTTGTCCTCTCCTCCTGATCAGGTATCTTGGGTTCTGGGTGATGTCCGCAATTGTGAGACCTCAGAGGAGAAAAGGTAGTATGGGATAGAATTTTAGTGGCAGAAGAATGAGTGTCCTACAATCTACCAGTCAACAGTGAGCAAAAATGTCTTTGAAGTGTCCTCTATTCTCTTAAAAATTCACATGAACTTTGCTTTTTACTCCATAATTACTTTTTTTCCACAAATAAATATCAATACCTTCAGAAAATGTTTTGGCCAAGAGAAGTCCAGGTTATGTTTTTTGAGAAACAATTGCAGAGCCAGAGACAAAGCCCAATGATGCCGACCCATTAGCTCAGAACACACCTGTCCCCAGGAGCCAAGTGACCACACAGTAGAGGAGCCTGATGCCCATGGCAGACCTGAGCATGAAGGTGAGCCTGTAGCAGGCCAGGAAGGACCCAGTCTGAGGCAGTTCAGGGCGCCAGACCTCACAGCTGCTTTTCACCAGGCGGGGCTTCCTGTGGGTCCTTTAGCGTTTAGAACTAACCTTGTGGGTTGAAACAGTAGGTCTTTTGTTCTTAACTGTATACACAACCTAGCCTACCGTGTGTGTGAGGCTAGGGCAGCACTGAGCTTCAAGATGTGTACCTTCTTTATCATTCCACTATAGTCAAATCTGCAACATCTGAACGTGAATTTTCACTACTCGTTTGTTCAGGATTTTTTGTCTTTTGTTCCTTTATCTTCCTTTCTTTGGTTCAAATCACCTTTTCATTTTCTAGCTGTTGCTGAATAGAGGTTGAGATCTAGATTATTGTTGATATCTTTCTGTTGATGACTAAAGGTGATATCTAGGTACATACAGCAAGAGACAGGGAAATGGAGACCAACATTTTTTTTTTTGCTGGAAAGAAAACTGGCAACAGGAAATGCTGTGCTATTTTCTTGGCTTCTTTATTTTCTCTCCCATCTCACCTAAAAAATGGTTGCATACATTTTGAAGGAATTTTATGTATGGTTTATAATTCTTTTTTTTCATCTTTTGTTATTCCATTTGAAGTTTTGATGTAAGTAACCCACTAGGAAAACTCTATAGTTTTGCTCTGACCTCCTGTCCCCGACTATACATCCATCTATATTATTCTCTACAGACATGTATGGGATTCCTATGTTTGAAAAGTCTTCTTCCTTCTGTTGTCTGGCCTCCTTTTTTACCTTTGTAGCACTGAATAAAAATGACATGAATGTGTCCTTTGTTTCAGATGGAATGAAAGTAGAAAGAACAAGGCACCATCCCTTCCTATGTATAGGTTCCTTGAGGACAGAGGTGTAGAATTTGTACATCTAAGATCCTCCATGCTTACACCAATAAAAAAGATCATGCTCATTTTGATATCAAAATAACAATGGTTCGAGGCTTTATTTATATCAAGATCCTAAGTTCTCTTTCAAAGGGTCTCCATTGTTTTGGGGAGTGTTCAACAGGCTTCCCCACATGCACACCAATCAAAATGCAGCTGCTGTCATCCATGGTATCAGATCTGTTCTTCTGGAAATAACTACAAATCATCCATTGAAGGCACTGATGAAAATACCCAGCTTTAAACCCTTATGCCTGGCTATAAGGAACTTTCCCTGGATGTTTTTAATCCTGATAATCCCTGGGCTACTAGAGCATTGTTGGAATTTCCACCGAAGTGGGAGAAGTGAATGGTCTCCTCATTATCTCTGAGTTGCCCCTTGTCACTCTGAGCTTAAAGCAGCTCCTCTTGAGTGTAGAATCTCACCAACTAGCTTGTGAATGGCCCCATCAGCTGCAGGATAGCAGCCTTCCATAGCAAAGGGCTCCAACCTGATCCAAGGGGTTTCATAGAAACAGATGCTTTACCATCCATTTTGCTCTCTTCTGTTCACTGTGGCAAGATGCAGACTGAACTCCCCCCTCAAGACTTAGCTTCAACCAGACATAAGAATGAGTACCATTTGATGCAAACAGTAAATCATGGAAGAAAGGAGCTCAAAAACAGGGGCTTTGAAATTCTCTTAGGAATGGTGGTGATGGTATGCTCTTTGTTGAACACAAGAGTATTCCAAATCAGCAGCTCAGAAGGCTGTGAGACCCTTGATACCGGGCATATAAGTGCCTTTGGCACTTGGAACTTTCCTGGTAAAGCTTGCAATTCAGATCTCCAAACTTAGCTCTTTTAATGAAAAAAGCATCTCCCTCATGAGCACACAAAGTACTTTCTGATGCCAAAAGACTCAAAACCCCTAATTTTCTTCTTCTTTCCTTCTTATTTAAAGCTCTGGCAATATATCCCCTCCTTTCAATTAAGGAAACACCTTTAAGAGTGAAGTTATTGGCCAAAGACAGGTGGGTAATAAAAGTTATTTTGTGAAATACAGAGTTTAGTTCAGGAGATACACAAGATATAAAATACCATTTAATATAACTTATCTGTCTTCAAAGAAGTAAATTCTTTTTTTTTCCTTTTTTTTTTTTTTTTTTTTGGTACTGGGGATTGAACTCAGGGGCACTCAAACAGTGAGTCACACTCCAAACTCTATTTTGTAGATCCTGTAGAGACAGGATCTTAGCACCTCCCAATTGCTGAGGCTGGCTTTAACTCCGAATCCTCCTGCCTCAGCCTCCTTGAGCCACTGGGATTAAAACATTTGGTAAAACACGTTTGGATTTTTTTCTTTGTCCTTTCTTTGGAGGCAGCTTTATTGAGGTAAAGTGGGCATATAGATAAATTGTATGTAACTAGACAGTCAGCATTTCCACCACCTCTGTGTTTCTTTGTGTCATGTCCTAACCCCTCCTTCACACCCCTGCCCATCTCTATTCCATCCCAAAATAATTAATAATATGCTTTGTTTCTATAGAGATTTGTTTGCATTGTCTAGGTTTCACATATATAAAATGAATAGAAAAATATAGTGTCTTAGATCATGCTGCCATAAAATACCACAGACTGGCTTCAACAACAGAAATTTGTTTTCTCAGTCTGGCAGTTGAAAGTGTGAATTTAGGGTGCAAACGTGGTCAGGTTTTAGTGAGGAATCTTCCTAACTTGCAGATAATGACTTCTCAGTGCCCTCACATGGCAAGGAGAGATAAGAGACGAGGAGCTGTCTGTCATCTTTTCTTATAAGATCCCATCTTGAGGGCCCCACCTGGGTGACCTCATCTAAGCCTAATTATCTCCCAAAGAACCCCCATATCCAAAGAGCAGCACATTGAGGGTGGGAGCTTTAACATATGAGTTTGCAGAATCATATGTTCATATGATTAAACATCAGGTACACTATGCACATGTACATTGCCAAGGTGTACATCAACAATCCAATCCACATCATGTACAGTATTTACTCATTTTTGTCTGATTTCTTCCATCACTGTAATTATTTTGAGATTCATCTATAGTATGTGCACCTGTGGTTGTGTAATACTTGAGGTCAACTAAGGAGTGCATTTACTCAGTTTATATTTTAGAAAATTGGCAAGTTTGCCAACAATACTGATACACATTACCAAGTGGAGAACACATATTCCTTTTCACAAGGCTACCTTGAAAAATATTCTTTATGATATTAGATGTAGATATTTGACTCTTTTTAGGTTGAGGTGCCAGATCTTACTTTAAAAAATTGATATAGAATTCATATATCACAAAATTCACCCCTTGAAAGTATCTGATTCAGTGGTTATTAAAAGTCTATTCACAAACTTGTGCAACCCTCACCACTGTCTAATTCCAGCACCATTTCATTGTTCCCAAAAGAAATTCCATATCATTAGAATTTGCTCCATGTTCACTCCTCCCCATAGTCCAAGGTGGCCATAAGTCACTTTTCTATATCTAAAGATTTGCCTGTTTTGGACATTGCACATAAATAGAATCATGCAATATGTGCCCTTTGGGTCAGGCTTCTGTTACTTTTTTTTTTAAAGAGAGAGAGAGAGAGAGAGGGAGAGAGAGAGAGAGAGAGAGAGAGAGAGAGAGAGAGAGAGAGAGAGAGAGAGAGAGAGAATTTTTTAATATTTATTTTTTAGTTTTCAGTGGACACAACATCTTTATTTTATTCTTATGTGGTGCTGAGGATCGAACCCAGTGCCCCATGCATGCCAGGTAAGCACGCTACCTCTTGAGCCACATCCCCAGCCCAAGCTTCTGTCACTTAGTGTATTTCTTCAAGGTTCATCCATGATGCAGCTTCTATTAGTGCTTCATTCCTTTTCATGACCAAGTTCATTTTGTGGATACACTATGAGTGGATTTCAACTGATGAATATTTCCATTTTTGGCTAAAATTAATAGTGCTGTTCTGAACAGCTGTGTGAAATTTTTTTGTGGGGTCACATACTTTTGATTGTCTTGGGTATATGCTAGGAGTGAACTAGCTGGTTATGTGGTAATCCTCTATGCTACGCTGAGTAATTACCAAACTGTTTTGCACAATGGCTATAACATTTTGCATTCCCACAAGCAATACCTGATGGTCTCAATTTCTGCTCATCTGTGCCTATGCTTGTTACTGTCTTTTTAAAAATTATAGCCTAGTGGTTGTGAAATGGTGTTTCATTGTGCTTTGGATTTACATTTCTTTACTGAGTAATAAATAAAACAATGCTAAGCATTGTTTTATGTAGTCATTGACCCTTTGTGGTTATGCTTTGGAGACCTATTTATTTAGACTTTTTCCATTTTTAAATTGGGTCATTTATTTTTTTTATTATTGAATAAATAAGTATTCTCCACATATTTTGGATAAAAGTCTCTATGAGATATATTATTTGTAAATATATATGTCATTTTAGTGTTGTCTTTAAGGTGTTGAAGGTGTCCTTTGAAGCACAGAGTTTTCTTTTTCTTTTTAATTTGATGAAGTTGGACTCATCTCATGTTTACTTGGTTGCCTGTGTTTTGGGTTTCATATTGAAGAAATCATTGCCTCTCTGCAGGCAAGTCCCTAGGTGGCCTTGGGAACCCAGTTCTGGCCAATTTTCTTGTTTGAAGTCCTCAATAGTAACTGTAGAATGTACTTGGAATGCAGCATCTTGAGGTAAGGAGGAGCTGGTGAGAAGAGTCCAGACTCTGTGCTATCTCTTCTGCAACAGGAGACTCCACAATTGCTTTAACTTAGCTAATAGACCCAGAGTTTAAAACCAGGAATAGAGGGCACTTCAGATTCTCTTAACTGCAGTGCAACATGGGACATGGGCAAATGAGATTTGAGATTTTCCCATCCGGGGCAGCTCTTTTGAGCCTTGGGAAGCTACTCACCATGAATCCTGGACTCTCCTGTCAGTTGCTCCCTATCTGCAAATACTAAATTTGTTTCACTTGTTGTGTGAGTGTTCCCTCTTCTGGACTCACACAAGAGGTGGACACTGCAGTCCAAGATGCTGCTGTGGGATGAAGTGTTCAGACTCCTATTCCTAGTAGTAGTGGGAGAGATGAGCCTTGCTAGTCTCCATCCACCTGGGATTGGTAATCAGGACATAGAAAATACACTTCACATACACGAAGGTCATGAGATTTACATGTTTGCTTCTGAGACTTTTATACTTTTAGCACTTACATTCAGGTCTTTGATCTATTTTGAGTTATTTCTTTTTGTGTAAGATAGAGGCAGGGGTCCAACTGCATTCTTTTGCACAGAGATATATAGTTTCTCAGCAGAATTTGTTTAAAAAGATTATTATCTCTCCATTAAATGGTCTTGGTACTGTTGTCTAAAAATCAATTGTCATAAATTTATGGATTTATTTGAGGACTTTCAATTCTCTTCCATTGATCTTTATGTCTATTCTACTCCAGTACCATACTGATAAGATTATGGTTGCTTTGTAATAAGTCTTGAAATATGAAAGTATGAGTTGTTTCATATTTT